TTCGTATAGATTCGGTTCTAGATCGGCAACAGCGACGCCTACCGGTTCGCCAAAGAAGCGTCAGCTTCCACAAATTCCAGCAGCCCTTAAAGAGAGAGTAGCTCAAGATCTTGAAGAAAGAGCAAGGTTTATGAGGCATCGTACTAGACAAGGACACATTACATATAGGAGTACAGGAATGGGAGGTTAGTCCGATCGAAAATATTTTATACGATTAATGTATTTACGTAAAAAAAAAAAAAAAAAAAAAAAAAAAAAAAAAAAAAGAAAAGGAAAAGAAGAAAGAAGAAGGCAAACAAGACGATAAATAAAAGGGAAAATTAATTGGAAATTTTTTTTTTTTTTTTTTTCTTATCATTTTAATCAGGCTGGGAAAGACACTACAGCGGTCTTTCAGACTCGGATCTACCATCGATCGGTCATGATCCATTATCCTTACCGCACAGTAATGCTCACAGACTGCACAGACCACGAAGGGGGCATTTAAGTCCGGACAAAGATGTCCTTGGTGACCTTGGGGACTCCGACATGGAGAGCATAGCCTCCATAACGAGCAGTGCCTTCAGTACGCAATCGGAACGACCACGTGGATCGAGGGGATTAATGTGAGTATAGTTCATTGATTATTAAAAGGGAAACGAAACGATACGAAACAAAACAAAACAAAACAAAACGAGATCAGGGAAAAAGAAATGGAAAAGAAATAGTATAAAATTCAGGAAAAAAAGAAACAATTCAAAAGATTAAATATACGTATATATATATATATATATATATATATATATATATATATATTTAATTTTTTGATATGTATATATATTTTTGATATCACATCATCTCTCTGATCGATGACATTTATATCATCGCAATCGACTGTACAAAGCAAAGCAAATTCCATAGTTCATTATATAAACTATTCCCGTTAAGGAAAAAAAATGTCCAACGATAGTTCCGACTCGCTTTTTTTTCTTTCTTTCATTTTTTCTTTTCTCTATTTTTTCTTCTCTCTCTCTCTCTCTCTCTCTCTCTCTCTCTCTCTGCGATAAGCTCTTTGAAATTTTTAAATTTAATAAGAATCGATTGGAAATTTTTTTTTCTTTTCTTTTTTTTTTTTTTTATATCGCTGAAAGTATTTTCGTTGCATGAAAATCCGATTATCATTATGACATAGTTAAAAAGTTCTTTCTATTGTCGAGGATAAAGTAAACGTAAAAGAAGAAAAAAAAGGAAAAAGAAAAAATTGAAAAGACAGATAAATAAGCTTAATGGGACGGAACGATCGGTGGTGTTTAGTTTGTTATTTTTTTTTTTTTTTTTCGATAGGAAAATCCCTGAATTAAATGGACATTGTCGTGAATGAATTTGACACCCTATATAGTCGCACTATACGTCCCTCCTCGCTTGCTTCTTAGATTAATAGTAATCCCATGCGCTCTATACTATATATATATACATATATATGTGTGTATATATATATGTATATATGTATGTATATATGTATAAATCTAATCTTAGTTTTATAAATAGGCTGCACCTCCTATGCACACTGTCAATGTCCATTTAATGATGTCCCATTCTGAGAAAGCAGGGATCAAGTGCGTGGCGTTGGTCGAACGTGATTAGGTATTAGGGATACGTTTGGACGATGGGCGCGCGATAGATATCACGTGACGGAAGCAAAAGAAAAACGAAAAAGAAAAAAAAAAAAAGAAAAAAGAAAGCAAGGAATTCGACCATATGAAAATGTAAAAATCGATTCGAAAATAAAATCACAAATTCGTCGAAGATGTTTTATATAGGCGAGGGAGAGGAAAGAAAACAAAAAATCGAAATTCAAAAAGTAATAATAATAATAATAATAATAATAAAAAAACACGAGATACGTCGTCCGGCGCCATTGTTTCCCTCGGGCTTAAAGAAAAGAAAGAAAACTCTCTCGTTCGATCGATCGCGAACGTGCGGTTGAGTGAAAAAGAAGCAGGGAGAAAAAACGAAAAAAGAAAAAAAAGAAAGAAAGAAAAAGAAAAGGAAAGAAAGAAAGTAAAGAGAAAAAAGAAAAAAGGAAAGAGAAAGTAAAAGACAAAAAAAAATGTAATTGTATGAAGAATGGGCTCACAATGGTAATGTTTCCGCAGGAGCGCTAAAACTCTCTATATGAAAAACATTGTTTGCAGACCGACAGTTAAAAACGTTGTAATACCCGGTGTCATATTCCCCTTGCCCCCGCCCCCTAGGCGCAATAGGCGCAGGCACAGACTTAGGGTTCCCTGCAGCGAATGTCACTGCCCCCCGAACATGAATCCCTCCAAGCCCAGGAGCAAAAACCCCTCGAAGCACAATCCCGTCCCACATCCCCTCGTACGGAGCAAGTCCGCAGTGGTACGCTCGTTGTACAGAAAGATGCGTACGCCGTTCACGAGATCGCAGACCGTCGACGAGAACATGCTGAGATATTACAGTCCGGAGACCAGCGAGTACAGCGTCTCCGAGGGTTACATAC